TGTGTGTGTGTGTGTGTGTGTGTGTGTGTGTGTGTGTGTGTGTGTGTGTGTGAGTAATGAACAAGGTGAAATATAGCAACACTCCCCAGCTCCTGCAGCGCCCCAGTTGGTACACTTGATTTGTTTGTGTATTTGGGACACCAGGTTGAAAGATGAATCGACGCCCCACAGGGTTCTTCCTATGTGTCTTCCTCAATCTTATGTCCACCCCTGGAACACCCAACAGCGCTCTTAAAACACTCACATAAGACACATCACACACTCACACCAGGGACTGTGACGCACTGTAACTTTGTTCCCCCCCTTTGTTTTTTGTATTGGAATATTTCTGATTTGAAATGATAAATTAGATCTGTTCAAGCAACGTATGCCAGAGCATTCTGTTTCAGTGCTCAATCTAAACAAGAGGCGTGGACCTTCTATCAGGAAGCGATAATACCATCAATCACTTACTAGAGGGGCTTCATATAAAATCCCTCATGCAATGGCCTTCCGATCAACTTCCAACTTCAAGCACCACCTCATGGCCGTCGTCAAATGCATCTTTTTGAAATATGATTCTATGGCTGGAATTCCTTTAAGCACTCAATCGAAACAACTGCCTTTCCACTGAAAACACGCCAGACAAGGTGCTTTCATTTCAACCTAGGGAGAGATTTTCGAGGGCTTTAGGACTTGTGGACTGTCTCCCCGATATTGCAGGAGCTCGAGCGTGAAATAAAAGTAAATGGGCAGACTGGAGAAGGCGACATATATCTTCGTTTCTCTGAAGGCAAGGGGACAGAGCGTAGACCCGAGCGACGCACACACAAACACAACAGGAGCCCTGATACAGAAAATGCTGTGCTTCGGCACTTTTTCGCCGCTAAATCAATGAGTCCCACAGCGGAGCAGCTTTCTGCTCCTCTACATTCTGACTGCTGGTTTACATATACACATTACACACCCATTGCATTTTTATATTTGCACTGCAAGCTATTTTCTTTACACTCTGCCAGTCTCTGACCCTTACTAACTAACTTTAGTATTATTCATTAAAGTTTAAACGCTATGCAATAAAATTCAACACATCAGCCTTGTAATATGTTTTCTCTCACGGACTACAAAGTCAGACCCCGACTGCTGATCAATTCTGTGTGTTTTTTTAACGTTGTCATTTATCTCGTATCATTTGAAAAGGATTTAAGATATGGATTCATCAGAAAGACCCTTATTTATATCATTACATTTAATTATACAATTTCAGGGATCATCAACTTTAGAAAGAGCTGCTGAGGGGATCGAGCAAACTTGTTCTGTATCTTTTATAAAAGGTAAACACATTAGAAAAACACATTGTGAACTCATGTTTTCTCTTTTTGTGCATTTTATGTACTTGTGTTGCTGTTCATTTCTTTTAGCACCCTTTTCTTAAACTATTGTTTTAAATACAAATGCTATTCGGTGTTCCACAGCCCTCTGACCACAGTTTGCCCTCATGCCAAACAAATGAATGCCAGCAAAGGGGAATGACATTTACTCTGGGATAACCACGCTCAGACGCAACCAACCATAAGCGAACACACTGAAAGCGTTGAGCACGGGATACAGCTGTTAACTTTCCCTAGTAACCGCTCCAGTTTATAACACTGACCCTGTAGCATCGATGCCCATCAATTTAAGAGACCCTGCATGATCGACCTGATCCAGAACGCCATCTCGCTGAGCCATCTTTAATATGCTCATGGTTGAGAGATAAGAATAAAGCAGCCAAAGAGTGGAGCAGTAAGCTCCTTCAGACAGAAACACTGACGGCCAAGGACGAGGCGACCCGCTTCAGGCCAGCCTCACATCCCAACACACGGCAACAGACCAGCATTACAGTAAAAAGAAACAACAAATGAACTTCAAGGGCTATTAACTACACTAAGAAAGAAAGACAAGACAGATGCTTTCAAGGCCTCAAAGGTAGTCTAATGTCAATTTGAGACCATACCATCTGTTGGGGAGTTGGATGAAGCCTATAGGCCTGCTTCAAACTTCAATCAATGTCGGACTAAATTGAAATCCCAGAGTACATTTCATAGTAGGGTGAAATGTGATCATTTAGTTTTAATGGCTTTAAACTACTTTTAAATGAAAGTGGAATCTGTGGAAGAGTTTAAATGATCCCAATAAACTGGTACATTTACTTTAGATTTACTACGGCAAAAGACGATTCGAGAATTTTAAGAAGAACATCACACATGACTGAAGTAATGCGTTACATAGGGTTAGGGTTCAGTAAATACTGAAAGGTAATTTGAACGCTATGTTACGGCTTAGAACACATTCAACTATGCGATACCAAGAAAAGGGTCTTTTTATACCCGAGAAAGCGTCTGAAGTCTCATGCTTATACACTTCTGATTTCTCATTAAGATCATATGCCAGTTAATCCTAATGTGTCGGTTTATGACAATGACTGGACCTATTTTGTGTCCTTGTTTAAACCCGAGTCCTCATCTTTCATACCAACAGAGGATGATTAAGTTACGGATTAGTAGTTACAGATTAGTGCCTGCCTCTGTCCGCTAATAAACTAAAACAGGATAGTCTTGTGCTCGTAGTTTTAAAATCATATTCTCGAAAGGTTTTAATATTGTTTGATGATAATACGCTCTCAAATGTCTTTGAGTAAAAGCAGTTTCAGTTTGCCTCTATATTTGATACCAAATTATGCATCAGTTTGAATTATAATTTAATGCTCGAGTCTAAATAATCCAAACAACATGACAGGAGTACTGAAAAATATTTCTCGGATTTTATTTAAGGCTAGACTCTAATCTAATTTAATCTAATCTAAAAAGTATCAGTATTTATATAGTCTATTCAAATGAAGGACTCTGATGATGAATTTGTCAAAAAAAAGAAACCGTGTTTGGACACTTCACATATATATTATTTTGAGAGTTTTGGTATTCAGCATGTCTGTATGTAATCTACTGAAAGCGTTAAGCAGCCATTTATTGAGATCTTTAAGTTTCAACAGATTCCACTTAAACATGCCCCTGTCCCTCGTAGACTCCCGAAAGGTGTGACAAGTAGTGTGAGAGCGGGTGAGTGTCTCATACCTTGGGTTCCCTCGCAGTGCAGCGTGATGCAAAGCATTGAAGCCGTTATTGTTGGTGATGGTGACATCGGCCCCAGCCTCCAGCAGCACTGACAGCATGTCGTCTCTCTTCTTGCTTATGGCATCGTGCAGGGGTGTGTCCCCCTCTGAATCCTAAAAAAGGGGAAACTTGTGTTACTTACTACTCCAGTACTAATGTGTGATTCAAACCCTGCCTCAGACAACCTCTCTTCTCTCTACTGTGTCACAAAGAGATCTCTGCTCATTTGTAAATAGGCTGCAGGGTAAGGTACCTGAAGGCTCGGGTGGCAGCCAAAGTCCAGCAGGGTCTTGACAACCTGCAGGTGTCCCTTGTTGACAGCTATGTGTAATGGCGTCTGCCTTCGCTTGTTCCTGGCATTCAAGTCAGCACCGCCCCTCTGCAGCACCTCAATGACAGAGCCCTCATCACCGAAGGCTGCGTGGTGCACTGCCCGGTCTCCATCTTTGTCCTGAGAACAGTGACACACCCGCATAATGACTCAGTCTTTTGACCGTGATAAGATTTGTTCCCCCCTGTATAGTGGGCTAAGATACTTATGGCAAGTAAGATTACATAATGAGAAGAGAGAGGAGACATCCATTTTAATTATACAAACCTCAGCTTCCAGGTCAACGTTGTGTTTGAGCAGCAGCTTCAGCACATCCACGTGCCCATTCTGACTGGCTGCCTGCATAGCAGTGTGTCCCGCACACTGCCCGTTCACCTGTCAACACATCAAGAGAGCGAATACGGCTGCGTGTCAATGTCATGTTTAGCTAAGCATCTACTCAATTAGCCGTTCACCTGAGGGGGGCTCAAAGAATGACCAAGGTGTGTTTAAGCGCCTGTACGTGTGGATGTGCGTGCGCGGCTTTGTGTGCATGTCTCATCAGCAACTGCAGCACTGCAAAAACTCAGATCATAAATATTAATGCGGTGCTCCTTTGGGAGTGTCGAGACGTCTCTTGTCCTGGCAGGCGGATCACTTGGCCGAGCTCAGTGTGCTCAGCTTTAAGCAAATCATTCCACTGAAAGGCAGTAGGGCATGTGGCCAGCCTTCGCCACTGACACACTCATTCACTCTGTTGCTCTCCGAGTGAGGACAGGATTGCAGACCTGACGTAACCACTCCTCATAACCCATACGGGGCACAGGCTTTGGTCCTGTGGCTAATGGGTGTTTTCCCTGGCTTGTGTCAGAACACAATCTGCAACCATATGGGGTTTGTAGATCTAATCTTGATTTTCTAGAGTGAATAAGGTCTGTGCTGCAGTGCACACCGATGCTCCTCGGTGCCTCCTCTGGGCCCAGCCTTAATGCTTTTCAGATAGAGAGAGGAGGAGCAGGAGTGGGAGGATCTCAGAACCCTTTCCTGGGAGACTCTCAGCCTCCTCTATATACTGAGAGCAGAGCGAAACAAGCTGGGTATATTCCAGCTTCAATTATAAATGTACTCACATCTTTTGAAAATATTCAATAGCAAAAAAGACTTGTTGTTCGTCAAAAACCCATCTAGAAAAACCCAAAATACAGAACGTGGAGCACTTACGTCCACTTCGGGTCTCTTGAGGATGTCCTCCACCTTGGCCAAGTCGCCATTGGCTGCTGCCTTGACCAGCTCCTCGTTGATGTCTCCGGACTCTTGTGTCTCAAATAGTTTCTTCAGTAACTGAGACAGACGCTCTACTCGAACAGGGGGAAAACAGCAGAAACAGATTGCGTGCCGGTGTCAGAGAACAGGGAGCGGTGATGACAAAGAACCAAGACGACACTCTCTCTGTGTCAGCAGTGCCTGTTCACACTTACCTCCAGAGGCGTTGCTGACAGCCGAGCCGGAGGGGGCGATCTTGGTGACGGCGGCGGGATTGTACGTCCAAGAAGTTCCACAAACCTCGACCTTCAGGTCACTGTCGGAGTAGATCTGCTGCACACGGCCCACCTTGCCGAGGGTCTGTTGGTAAATGTTGCGACAAACTCATTAGTACATGGAGGGCGGCTGTCTTTGGGCTGTGTTCGGTGTAACAGAGCCTGTAAGTGGCAGAGCGAAGATGGAGGGGGATTGTTACGAAGGGTTAGGGTTAAAAAATGAGAGGGTGCGGGAAAAGGATAAAGAGGACTCAACAAAGCAATTGTCAAAACCAGAGCAGAAACAAAACATGTGTCAAGAATAAAACCTGACAGAAAATAATATGTATTCCAGATTCAAGCAGTTTTTCATTATTGGGAGTACATGTACTTGCACAAGAAAGAACAAGATGAATGTAAGAGAAAGAGACCCCTTCTGCCGGCTGGACTATTCTTCATCTATAAAGGCAATACAGAGAGGACAGCGCAAAATGCTTTCCAATTTTGAATCATATCATCTCGATCTCGGCGATATGAGAAAGAGGCACTTTGAGTCTGTGGAGCGGGGTCTGTCCTGGAGGATGCCATCAATAACGGGGACTGCTGCAGTAGAAGCAGCAGCGGGCGACAAACAGCCGTGGTTAGTGATCAAAGCTACAACCCATCTCGGGGTTTTTAAGGCTCATTAGCTGCCGAGGGGGGTCCCGTTTGGCAGGGACAAGTGGCATATTGGAGGAGACTGCCGTTACATAACCTGGGGCGGGCTGGGCAGCAACGAACAAACTTCATTAAAAAAAAAGGGAAGATTAAAGTTGTGTCGAGACAACATTAAGATAAATGCAAAATAATTGGCAGCCAAAGAGGGATTTTAAAATCTATTTAAATAAGACGATGGACTGGCACAGTTGGGTGTGAGAGAAACAGCAGAAAAATACACTTAAATTGAGCCTAATTTAGAGAATTTGCATACAAATTGTGCATTGAGTTCCAAGTACAAATTAGGCCTTCGAAATGATATATGGTGCCGATATTAACAGCATTGATTTCCTCATATTTTCAAGCGCTATTTTTATTATACGTTTTATATGAAACTCTCCACTGGAGTGCATTTTTGGATTTGTTTTGTCACTCACACGACTTTACAGTTACAGTCAGCAGATAGTTTGATTTGACGTTGTGGCCCTTGTGAGGGGTGGTTATATATCTGTGTGTGAACTCATTCAGACTCTTACAGGAAGCATGGCCTCAGCCCACTCTCCGTGGCCTCTCTGCAGCAGCTTGATGCGGTCGATGTCGAAGCAGATCTGCACCAGGTCTCCCACCAGGAACTGGGAGGTGCCCCCCTCCGCCCCTGCTGCTACATCACCGCTGCGCACCGCATTGGCCTTTGTCAGCACTGCTGGGTTGAATGTCCACCTGAGGATCGACAAGGTAATGGATTTTAACCACACATCCATCAATGTATAAGATAGGATACCTGAAGTAAAGATTCTGAGCAGTCACTCTGGGGATTTGGAAGCTACGATTAAGTAACACAAAAATGATGTGATATAGAAGATCTTTTTTATACTTTATGGATGTGATCTGAACACATGCAGAAGACTGATAATTAACAGATGGGCGCTAAGAAGACCGACTTAATATTTGAATACAAATCAACTGATAATTGGAAAACGTCTTTCTCTCAAGGATGTTACAAACCAACGCTTATGTTGTAGTGATATACATGTAAGTGTTTGATGGCGTTTGACTGTGCCAAGTCAAAAAGGGTTATATAAAACTTTAATGGGTGAATTATAGTGATGGGAAGCCGTTTTATTGGTTCCACTGTATGGCAGCCAATATTTAAAAGCCAGTTGATAGAGACTCACCTGTTCCCACTGGGGTACTGAACGACAATATCGTGGTCTTCATCGATGCCGCAGACCGTGCCGGTGGTGGTGAGCGTCTCAAACATGCCGTCAGTCCATCCTCCGTGGCCGTGTTGCAGCGACTGAACAATCTCCAGGTCTAAGTCGATGTTGACCAAATCTCCAATCTGGAGACCGCCAGGATTTCTGTTGCCATTCTGCTCACCTGGGAGATGAAGGCAAAGGTTAGGAGTACTAAAAATAACATTGGCATTACTTAAAGTGTATTAAAAAAACTGTATTAGTCTTTCACTTGAATCATGTTGAATCTTAAGGGGCTAAGAACAGAAGGAGGGATAGAAAATGGCACAAAAGAAATACAAATAATCTGATTGTATGCGATTCAACAAATGTACAAATAAGCTCATATGTAGTAGCATACTGGTAAAGACAAAAGACAGATGAAGGGAAACATCACACATCAAATCATTCACATGATTTTCTGTGAATATGGACACAATCAATCCTCATGACGGACTTTGTCCTGCAGTGTTGAATCCACAGAGACAATCCAATCTGGAATTCCAGGAATGCTGAAACTGCATGACCTGAGCCCCTTTCTTTTATTTGTGATTATGTGGTGCTGCCACCTAGTGGCCAAACACGATTAACTTCATGTGAATCTCCCCCTAATGCCCTTGAATTCACTGCACCAGAACGATAGGTGAGAGAATTGGTGCAATAATGACGGAGGACACAGATCAGAGGGAAACTCACCTAAAACGGGGCAGTGGTCTCTGTAGAAAGAGCCGCCTTTGGCATCCTGGACGCATTTCAGATCCGACTATGGGAGAAAAAGGGAGCAAAGTTAGATAATAATTAGCCAGGGTAATTCCATTAGAAGAGAGGGTACAAAGATCAAGAATAGTGAAACAGAGAATGGAAACACTTGATGGTGTAATGTCAGTGCAGAATACCAACGATATCAGTGCTCTAAGGGTAACGCAGGACAATAAAACACTCCACTGCCACTGAGGGAAGGCGTTGTATCATTTGTGATGACTCAGATGTGCAGCCACTGTGGCAGAGTTAGAGGGCAGAGAAGACTGTGAGCAAACATTCCTCAGAAGTGATGGAAGCAAAACATGTCCTGACAAATTAAGTCTATACTGCTGTATCCAGCCAGTAAGACCCTTTTGACTTCATGATGCACTGAGCACGAAGCATACATTTCTCAACAGGAAAAGGTGTTGCCGCATTTGGAACAACAACCGTCCCAGCCAACTGTGTAGCAGCTAGCAGGAATGTCTTAATAAGAAACTTTAAAGTGGAGTCAAGATGGGGGGTCGGAAGCATGATTTACTTAAACCAGAGGCAGATGCCTTTTGCTTTTCTCTCAGCCTATTAAAATAACAAAAGGACAAATCTGTTATGCAACCGAGAAACCCGATTGGCCTCTTTTGTAAAAAAGGAGAGGACAGTCTCCACCAATGAGAAGGATGCTTTTCATTTGAGACGCGTGTGGAGCAGCGCCTGCGACAACCCCGAGAGAATGGCCCCCTCCTTTAAAGTTGACCTCCGTGTTCACTCTCTACCCCCTAAAAGAGCCCAAGGAACAGCTTGTCTTTATCATGCAGATACCTTCCCTTTCCAGCTGCCTGTACAATGGTGCCTTACTCATGCTGGCTGCGTGGCTCTAACAAAAGGCCCCAGCCCTGCGGTCAGACACAAAGCCACCTGACAGCTGATCTTTTGTGAGACTCTGTGTGTGTGTGTGTGTGTGTGTGTGTGTGTGTGTGTGTGTGTGTGTGTGTGTGTGTGTGTGTGTGTGTGTGTGTGTGTGTGTGTGTGAGACAGAGCAGGAGGGTCAGCCTGGAAGTTCGCTCACCATTCCCTCAAAGCCAACTCTGTACAGGTTCTTGGCCCCATTGTCCCACAGAACGTAGGCCGCGCTGTGCGGGCTGGCGGCACTCCAGTCCTGGATCTCTGTCACCTAAGGGAAGAGGAAGAGGGAGGAGATGAAAAAGACAGATAAGAAAAACATTGAAAACACTTGGTTTTGGAGTTTTATTTGTCATTTCCTGATCATTTTAGTGTGAAAAGAAAGAGCATCGTCTGGATGTGAATTGAAGAACATTTGGTGGCATACTGTATACTGTTTACAAGCAGGTTTTTATATCATCTTAAAACCTCCTACTTTTTCCCTGTGGAGACATGTATTTTCAAATGAATGTCAGCGTGAAGGTTGAACTACAGAAGTCATGAAGTACCCAGTGCCAAGCTCAAAGACCGGAACATCTCCTCTAGTTGAAGAGTCCAGTGTCATCTGGCCATGCACCGAGCACCAACTTACAAAATGGTTATAGAAGAGAGCAAAAGTCAATGTAGTAAATCTATAAACTTTCAAACAACTTCAAGTTAAGTACACATGCCACCCTAACTACTGAGAAATATTAGGTGTTGGACTCATCATGAACAAATATGATTAGGGGGTTTGATTCTTGCGGTTGCAATTCGATTTTGTTTTAATTCTCCCAACGTTGCAATCTTACAGTCAATACTAAACCTTCTGTTGTCTTTGTTTCATCAGTTGGGTATAGTTGGGAAATCATCAAGAACATTGTAATCAAACTCTATCAACAGTTATTGTTAACTATTATTGCTTTCTAAAGACAACACGAGCAAGTCAAGCCAGAGCCTGTGGGAAGCAGTGCTCATCAGAACACGAAACACTCCACATGATTTACTATCCAAAAATGTTTCAGAAGAGTCAAGAGGGAACAGGAAGGATGCAGCTGTTATTCCACAGAGGAATACTTAATGACTGGGTATTCAAATATGGTTACATGCTTCATCTTTAAAGGTTTAGGAAGGTCTGAGACATCACTTTCCATGTGTGTTTCTATTCATTAGCATTCTAAGAGGGCTTGATCCAAACTCATGTTGCAGTATGCCTAGATCCCTATCATGCTTATTTAGAAATATATCTCAAAGCTACTGAAAGTAACTTTTCTGTTATTTTTGCAACAACAATTTCAGGCGCCCATTTTGCTTACAGAACTTGGAAACACTGCAGTAGGGAATGCTCGTCTTTACACAATCAACTGTTAATACTGCAAGAAGAAAGGAACACTCCCATCATGACATTCGCCCAAAGACTATTCAACTAGAGCCCATCTTTAGAGGGGATCAGACAAGCACCAACGCCAAAGCAATGGCCCTGTGTCCCCCCCTTGTTTGGACAATCATTTTTGGAAAGCATCATTTGTGAATGCATCCTGTGCAGTTATGATGCTATTTCTGTGCTAGGAATCAGTACACAGGCCCACATAAATATAAATGGCTGCTGTGGTGGTTCCAGCATCAGTAGCCTCCAGCGGAACAGTTTGCCGTGATGACAGACTCACAAGCTGTAAACAATACCAGCGTCGCAGTGGCTGCTATTAACACCATTATTACTTGAGTAAGTACTTGATGTATTCCATTATGACTGATGCTGCACCCGACTACTGCAGTAAGAACTAGCTTACAGCCTTTGGCAGAAATATATTGAAGGGCACTGGAAGCCAAGTAAATGATGTGTTATAGGCATAAATAAGCAATGAGCTATGAAAGGGGGGAAATCAATTCAAATTTGGAAGATAGTGTTAGGAGCTTCATATAAGATCATTCTCTCTCCATCACAAGCGGTGCAGTGCTTTCCGCCCATTGAGAAAGTGTCAAGAGAAGAGCGGTATTGGAGTAAGTGCATTCTTTAATTAAAAGTTGTGCCTTAAGTTAATACAGAAATCAGATCGTTAAATTATTTGCAGGGCCCTTACAGAGGTAATTGATTAACGGGCCTCAGGAGGTAATATCCATGCTAATCTAACGGAACATCTGAGCTGCAGGACATGCAGAAGCAGATTTGAGGGGAGCATATTGCTTACAGCGTCATAAAACAGTAATGAGATATGCCATTAAGTAACACCGCAAAATGAAGTCTTAAATCGCCTGAAGGGACTCTTCAATTGAATACTCAGGGGTCTGGAGTAGAGTCAAAATACAAGCACTTTAAAGCACAGTTACAGTATAAATCTAAATAGACCGGGCTGAACAAATGCAACCTCATCAGACACTGTATTACTTTCTAATATGTGTTTAAGCCGGGGATAACCTGCAGCAGTGAAGTCTGTGCATAGGCGCTGTCAAGATAAATATAATCAGCGGACTCAATCCGAGCAGTGGTGCAATCTACAAATGATTATCACCACTTACATACAGATTTATTGTATGATTTTGATCATTTTCAATCACATTGTGCACTTCTGGTCAACATGAGTTTCGAAAGGATCTTCATCAGATTTGATTTTCCCACTAAATCTGGATGAATGGATTTAGCTGTTTAAGTTTAAAACAGGTTTTTCATTACAGGAAATTAAGGGTGAATTTTCACCTTTAGTTGTAGCTATCTATTCGTGTCAGTGTATTATCGATACAGTATACGAGACAATGTATTGATTTGGGATGTGGTAATCGTAACAGTGTACCACCAATTAAGTGTATATTTATATCTTTTCCTGAACTTAAAAAAGGTGCAGAACAATTATATAGTTATCTTCAACTTTACAGCACACCTGGCTAGTCACCAGAGGACTTTATTTGTAGTTGTCACTTCCTTGTAGCATGTGCATGCCCCAAACACACTGTGTCAGGCAGTGCACTTCCTGTTTCGGTTGAGCGTCCTGCACATTTCAAATTAAATCACATCCTGGGATGCAAGTTTGTTTTTTCCTCTCCAAGGTTGTTTAGGGGCAAGGGATCCCTGTTATTTCCTTCTGTGCAGCGCTGCATTGTCTCCCGCAGGATTCTTTGAGACTATGGTTGGTGACTAAATCCTTTAGTCTGGGGCCATGCTCGGCCACAAGAAACCTTTCATCCAATAAATGGAAATGAAGAGGATGGATCTATAAAATCATAAACACATTGGTTGTGGGGTTATACATATCGAATCCACTGCCCTTAACCACCTCAAACTCACTACACACACACATTAAGCTATCCACTGTCTGCAAAGTATTGTGTACAGATTTCTCTGTTCAATATATTGTATATACAGTAGTTTAGTGGTCTTTAGTCATTTTCTTGTATTTACTGTGTGTATACATTCAGCATGGAAGGAAAATGAAGAATGTCATTGTGCAGGGAAACGTTCTCTTACTTTGCATATGACAACGAACGTGACGTGACATAAATAGTGATGACATGTTAAAGTAACAGTCAAACTGAACAAAGACATGGTAAAGGAGACATTCACACGCCATCTCCACAGATATGGTGACCTACCTTTCCTCTCCTTCCGTTGCCTCCATCCTGGTCTTCCCACTGCCAGTCCACTCCCCTCACCACTCGGCCACCAGTGAAGATCCCTCTTGCTGTGATTTTCTTTGACTTTCGACGCGACTCCAACAGTACTCTGCCCAAATAAAAACAAAGGCAAGTTATTCATTTGGATACAGCTTTTAAAACAGGTGACACTGTCAACTGCTCTTTTTGCAATTTCAATTCAAATATGTATTTATGGGGATGTCAGGGCATCCCTCTTGCTACCTTGTGTCCCCTTCTGTGTGCTTACTGCTTTGGTGTCATGCTGTAAATCGCTTTCAGCAAATGAGACATGGCTACAGATGAAAAATCTTGCGGAGAATGTTTGGCCTTCACAGCATCTAATCTGCTGTACCAACTAGGAAGTCCCTGACATCATCACCTGTCTCCAAAAAGGGGAACTGATGTTTGGTGATAACAAATTACATTTACAACATTTCGCAGTGGCTGAAGAATAGTGAGCTTTCTATAGTTTTCAAGCGTTTTTATTTTTAGGCTGTGAAATTCCAGGAGTACGCTGCGTGTAAATGAGTGGCAGGTATGTGTCATGTTGTAACTTAATAAATAACAATCCGTTTTTTATGGCAGCTTGGTATTTACACCTCATTGACAATTCCTTCCCTTTTCATCCATACCCAGCAATCATGGCACTGCAGATGCAAATGAACATCCAGTGGTTAGTTCAAGCTAAGAGGCTAGCCAATGAAAAGGGGGTAGCAGTTAATAGCTGAGCAATAACCATCAAACAAGTGGGAGCCTTGATGGTAGACTCGGCATCTGGACAGTGTAGATCTAACCAATGCAAACAGCTTGTGGCCTAACCACTCCCTTTTCTGCAGTTAGTGACAGGATCTAATGTGGTGTAACAAAACACCCCACTACGGTGTCTGAGCATCTGAGCTGGGGAGAACTCCAGCACCCATTGTGCATTATGCAACGTCTGTCTCGGGGGGAAGAAATTCGTACTCAGTTGAAAAGGCTGCCAGCTGTTGGGCCATGTGTTCATTCAGTAGAGTATGTGGGTGAAATAGGCCTGAAATGGATGAAGCATCATCCCAGTACTGACAGGGTATGCAATAACACAAATTAAATATAAGTTGGATTTAGTGATTGTGCATAACTAACAGGGTTAATTTATATGATTAAAGACTTGCATTAAATCAGTGACTTGATTGCTTGTTTTTCCAATAAAACAGGAGGTACATTAATCTCTACACAAAGCATCTTCGCATGAACAGTTTAACGCAGCCTCCAACTATTTTACTTGATCATGTCTGTACATGAGTTAATAGGCTACGAATGGGTGTTCCCTTTTTCCACACACCACGCCAGAAACCTTTAAAATGAGACCAGAGGGTAACCACACTTCACATACACCTACACACAAAGGTAGGACTTATTATATTGTGTGCAGATTTGTTTGTCTGATTACTACTTATGATGATGACATAGTTTGAAGTTTGCCCAAAGGGTAAAAGCACCAGCACAAACTCCTTAAATCCTGACCAAAAACTCTCACTCATTTAGATTTTCAGTTTGCCAGCTTTTGACAATGTCATCAGTGTTTTACAGTTAACCCATGACTGTCTGCACAGCAAAACACCTTCACAGTTGAACGCATGAATTCTCATCAGATACATGCAAAAGTGCTAAGTTCATATAAATGATAGCTCTACAAATCCAAATGAAGAGAAAGAGAAAACAAAGGAGCTCTCGCTGTGAGAAAAACATTTCAGCGACAGAATAACTGCAGACAAATAGAATAGTGTAATTCATCATGTTACTATATGTGATAAGCAGTGTTGGGACAGTGTTTTTGGCAGTAACTAGTACTCTAACGCATTCTTTTTTTTAATTCAGTAACTCAGTTACCGTTACTACATGGTGCGTTACTCCGTTATTTTTTTTATATAGTCTCGGCTCCCAGACGTTGGTGAGCCGCGCCAACAGCGAGGCGAACAGAGATGAGAACTGTACTTAAGTACAGTACTTGAGTAAATGTACTTAGATACTTCCTGTGTCACATGGGGAGACGCGCTGTGGGCGTTTTGTGTTTACTAACAAGACTATCATGGCGGCGGCGGAGCTCAAGTCGAGTTTCTCCGCCTGGAGATATTCTCACTATTTCAATTTTGTCGAGCATAAAGAAAATAACGTTTTAGTTAAATGTAAGTTGTGTCTTGGCGGGTCAAAGATCCTATCTACTGCCCAAAACAGCAATTCAAATCTGTTGAAACATCTGCAGAAACAACATGCTGGGACGAAGCTAGTAGCTAAGACCACAGACCCAGACTCATCCGACGTCACTCCACCTCCATCTTGATAAAGCCAT